TTTTTTTTAGTAGAGATGGGGTTTCACCATGTTAGCCAGGCTAGTCTCGATCTCTTGACCTCGTGATCCGCCCACCTCAGCCTCCCAAAGTGCTGGGATTACAGGCGTGAGCCACCTGCCACGCCTCCTTTACGTGTCTTTTTCCATCTTCCTCAATCCTCTTCTTTTGCCCCTCTTCCTTTTCAATTAAAGGCTGAATTGAAGAATGTTTCCTTTAACCTATTATAAGTAAGTAAGTATGTATGTATGTATGTATGTATGTATTGAGACTTTGTTTCTAAAAACAAAACTAAACTAATATTTATGTATTAAGTAACGACTATTGTACCAGATACTATGCTAGAAGACAAAGGTAAGTGAGATCGACATAGTCCTTACCCTCACAGGGCTTCAATCTAGTGAGGAAGATAAGCTATTAAATACAATCGCAATTTTTAAAATGCTGCTTACAAAACAATGCATAGCATGATCCTTTTCTGTTAATTAAAAAAATTTAAAAGTCATGAAAATGGTATTCACCAAACAGACATTCTCAGTCAGGTGATTTATAATGTTAAATGTCTCTTAAAAACAAAACTGGGTTGTTTTTATGGTCACAAGTCTCCTGATTATTTTGTTTATTTGAGGTCAACAAGTCTAGATCAGAAAAAAGGAAACTGCAGCACTAGCAGCAAAAGAATTACTGTAGTTTGTGCCTACCTAATACAACCAAAAAATGTAAAAACTTTCAAAAATACAAATATACTGTGTAGAAATAAAATCTTAACTTACTGTCTCCCTTCTAAAAACTCTAAAAGATTGACTGAATCTTTAGAATCTTTCTCACTCCAATTTCCATTCCCTGAATTTCTTTCTCTCAAAGCTATTTATTTCAGTTTACTTTTTGAAATAGAAACAATGACAATTGAACCATTTTGCATGACAAGTATAGGGTATATTTATATATTATATATTACAAATATTATATATTATAAATATATAAATTAAATATTATATTTATATAACATTCACCAAGAAAAGTCTGGAAGGGGCCGGGCACAGTGGCTCACTCCTGTCTGTAATCCCAGCACTTTGGGAGGCTGAGGCGGGCAGATCACCTGAGGTCAGGAGTTCGAGACCAGCCTGGCCAACAGGGTGAGACCCCATCTCTACTAAAAATACAAAAATTAGTTCAGTGTGGTGGTGGATGCCTGTAGTCCCAGCTACTCAGGAGGCTGAGGCAGGAGAATCACTTGAACATGGGAAGTGGAGGCTGCAGTGAGCAGAGATCACGCCATTGCACTCCAGCCTGGGTGAAAGAGTAAGACTCCATCTCAACAACAACAACAAAAAAGTCTGGGAGGAAATAAAATATTGGTGTGGCTACATAAGTTAAGCAAGAACTAGTAGTAAGAAAATTTCAAGAGAACTAACAGTTAAGTAGTTAAAAAAGAAGAAGGAGAAAGAAAAAGAACAAACTACCTTTAGCTAGCAAGGAAGGCAAGTGTTCCTCATGTGACCATAGTGAAATGTATCTTGAGATGAATTATATTTACTTTCAATATAAATTTACTTCCTGATGATTAGTTATGTGATACCCTTGGGATAACTTACCTCTGTCATTTTAGTGCCTTGCTTACAGCAAGTAGCTCAATAAATGTTAGCTCTTTTTAACACAACCATAAAATGTACAACAATCATCTATTCAGCATTTATGGGTAATTTTTAAAAATAACCAGAACAAATATACAAATAAGACAGAAAGGCTTCTATAATAAATTAAGGGCTAAAAGTAAAAACAGAAACACAATTTATTAGATGAAGATTATTTCCTTCTGTAGTTAATAGTCAGACTTAAATCTCTGCCATGGCAAATTACAGAAGCTTCTATGAGTGGTTATCACAGATTACAGATTTCAGAGCTGAAAGATAAAAAGATTCATATCATGGCAGAGACTTCTATTTGCTTGCCAATATCCAAATCTTTCCTTCCTTCTCAGTAACAAACACCCAGTTTTAAAGAGGGCAGCCATGCTTTCAGCTACATTTCCCTGTTTTCTTATAGCCTCAGTCTTGGTTCAGGAATTCTCCTTAAAGGAAGAGGATGCATCTTTCTTCGCCTATGCTTTGCTGCCTGGAACAGGACAGTGATGGTTAGAACTCTGGCAGCTATCTTGGACTTACAAGAACCAGTGCTACAAGAACATCTTAGGGATCACTGATAAAAGAACTGAAAGAAGCTTAAGTCTCTGATGACTTTATAAAGCCACTATACCCATCCTAGAGTGCTATTTCAATTATTATTTTATATAAGAAAGTAAATGTTGCATGTTTAAGCCATCTGTGAGTCTGTTTTTGGTTTTTCCTTTTTTGTATTTTGGTGGTGGTGGTAGTGGTAGTCATTTTTCTTTGCAACCAAATGCAATTCTTGAGTACTTACGTTCAGGCAGGTAAATAATTTTTATCTCCTTTTTACAGATGAGACAACTGAGGTCCAAAGAGATAAGATGACTTGCACAATACCAAAATAGTGAAGAGATGGGTCTTGGCTCCTAACCCAATGTTTTTTCACTAAAAACTGACTCGTAACACATTCTAAATGTAAAAAAAAAAAAAAAAAAAAAAAAAAACAAATAAAAAGACACAAAATCACAAAATTTAGACTTTTTACAGTGGTAACGGTACATGATAATGTATGCATTTGTCACATAATGTGAAAAGTGCCAAATTTTTATGATGTGGAAGGAGACTAAATTATATCATATTCCAGTAAGGAAGGGAGAAAGATATGTGAAATAAACAGAATCAAAACCAGAATAAACAAAGATGTTGGCCAGGCACGGTGGCTCCTGCTTGTAATCCCAGCACTTTGGGAGGCCAAGGAGGAGAGATCACCTGAGGTCAGGAGTTCAAGATCAGCCTGCCCAATGTGGTGAAACCCCATCTCTACTAAACAAATACAAAAATTAGTCAAGCACAGTGGCAGGTGCCTGTAGTTCCAGCTATTCAAGAGGCTTAGGCACAAGAATCGCTTGAACCTGGGAAAGGGAGGTTGCAGTGAACTGAAATGATGCCACTGCACTCTAGCTTGGGTGACAGTGAGACTCTGTCTTGGAAAAAAAAAAAAAAAAGATATTGATTTATTATTCCCAAATTTTACTGTATTCCTCCCCTCCTGAATAACTAAGAGGAATTTAGATTAAAAACTTATTTTTTTCAGCAGTGAGACTTCAAGACATAGCGCAACTTTTCCTGTTAAATCCTTAACTGCAATTTTTCTTTACTCTTACCACCACTTTAAAAATATTAACTTTGTTCCTAGTTTGTCACAGAGATCAATAATAAGATGAAATATCTCAAATTCTTTTCTGAAACTCCATCAAATAACATGTAAAACACAAAGCAGCTCATGTGCAAACTCGTTAGTGAACATAAGCAGTTATTTCTAAGTAGTCTGTTAAAAAAAAAGCAAATAAAATATTTTCAAATTTTAAGGACACAGGTATTTCTTTTCTTATATATGGTATATTTAACATAAAATAATCTATGCAGGAGAGTAATCATATGCATGTTGTATTTTGGAAAGGTATATTATTTTTATTGACAAAACATGGTAAAAAATAAACACGCAAACAGCAGATTAAATCCTAACTTTCCCTATTTACTTGCAAGCTACTTCTTGCCTCTGAGTCTTGATTTTCCTACCTAGAAAATTGAGCTCATACCTCTTCACAGGTTTGTTGATGGGAGGAAAATAAGAATGAATACAAAGTAACCAGCACAGTGCACGACAATGGTAATTGCTCAATAAATATTAATGCCTTTCTTGTCTTGAAAAGGAAACATAAAGAAATATGAAAATCTGTTCTGTAAACACCCAAAGTGGTAGAACTTAAAAAGCAAGACCAGGTTGGGCGTGGTGGCTCACACCTATAATCCCAGCACTTTGAAAGGCTGAGGCAGGTGGATCACTTGAGCGCAGGAGTTCAAAACAAGCCTGGGCAACATGGTGAAACCCCGCCTCTACAAAAAAAATCAAAAAATTAGCTGGGTGTGGTGGTGTGTACCTGTAGTCCCAGCTACTCAGGAAGCTGAGATGGGAGGATTGCTTGAGCCCAGGAGATCGAGCGCTGGGGGCAGTGCGCCATTCATACCACTGTACCTCCAGCCTGGATGACAGAGAAAGACCCTGTCTTAAAAAAAAAAAAAAAAGTAAAAAAACAAAACAAAAGCAGCAAGACCAGTTTGACATAAACTTTTAAAGTCGTTTTAGTTTTTTTGTTATGTTTTTGTTTTTTGAGACAGGGTCTTGGACTCTATCACCCAGGCTGGAGTGCAGTGGCGCTATCTCAGCTCATTAAAACCTCCCCCTCGGTGCGGTGGGCGCAGCCTTAATCCCAGCACTTTGGGAGGCCGAGTGGGGGGATCACAAAAGGTCAGGAGATCAAGGACCATGCTGGCTAACATGGTGAAAACCCATCTTCCACTAAAATACAAAAAAATTGAGCGGGCGTAGTGGCGGGCGTCTATAGTCCCAACAGTACTAGGAGGCTGGGCAGGAGATCGCCTGAACCTGAGAGGCGGGCTTGCGGATGAGCGAGAATCGCCGGCCCACTGCACTCCAGGCCTGGGCGATAGAGCGGACTATTCAAAAAAAAAAAAAAAAAAAAAAACAAACACCTCCACTCCAGGTCAGCCATCTTCCACCTCAGCCTCAGAAGAGCTGGGGGACTTACAGCACCACCACCACGCCTGGCTAGTTTTTAATATTTTTGGTAGAGATGGGCTTTCACCATGTTGCCCAGGCTGGTCTCAAACCTGTGAGCTAAGTGATCTGCTCACCTTAGCCTCCCAAAGCCTAGAATTACAGGCGTGAGTCATCATGCCTGGCCTTACAGTCATTTTTGAAAGGCCACATTAGAGCTCTTCTCTGAACACTGCCAGAACCAAAGTCCTGACGCAGTTATAGGCCAATGAAAGCAATGCATCCAACATAATCTCTTCCTTCCAATCTTAAATCAGAACTGTAGCAAGAGACTCAGGCTTCCTTCTCTAAGGCACTACCTTGTGCTAGGAAATGTGGATTGCTTCTTCTTACTATCAGTGTTACAAATCTAACGATAAAACAGGGTAGGGTGAAGAAAAATAAATGGCTTTTGAGTTTCTCCATGGCACCAGTGTCAAGGGCCACAGATAGCCTGGTGCTCACCTCCATTTTCCCTTTGAAAATGAAAGTCAATGGGAAAGTGAGGTTCAAATAAAATATCAAGTGTATGACCAGCTGAGCTGGACTACAGCTTTGCCCTGACCAAGACATTAGTATAGATCTTAGAGCCTCTGTTGTCTACATCTGTAAAAAAGGACACTCATCAAGGAAACTATTTTATCTCCTTTTTTCCAGTCTTAACAATGGGTTGGAGTATTCTAGATTATAGGCTTATGAAAAACAGATCTGTATCACTCAATAACATATTATTAAAATTATAATCTCTTTATTATTTACATATGCTGTACTTCAGATAATTAAAATACACTGCCAAAAAAAAAAACTCTGCCAAGGCCAGGTGTAGTGGCTCACGCCTGTAATTTCAGCACTTTGGGAGGCCGAGGCGGGCAGATTGCTTGAGCCTTGAAGTTTGAGACCAGCCTGGACAACATGGTGAGGCCTCTTCTCTACAAAAAATAAAAAATAAAAATGAGCAGGGTGTGATGGCATGCGCCTTTAGTCCTAGCTACTCAGGAGACTGAGGTAGGAGGATCACTTGAGCCTGGCAGTTCCAGGCTGCAGTAAGCCATGATCACACCACTGCACTCCAGCCAGCCTGGGCAACAGAGCAAGGCCCTGTCTCAAAAAAAAAAAAAAAAAAAGGCTCTGCCAAAAATAAAATCAAGTAACTACTATCCGAACTTCTATTAGGCTGCTTTAGGATTTTAGAATCAGAGAATTCTAAGATCAGAAATAATCTTGGAGGTACAGTAGTCCTCCCTAATCTGCATTTCACTTTCTGCAGTTTCAATTACCTGAGGTAAAACAAGATATTTTGAAAGATCACATTCATATAACTTTGATTACAGTGTATTATTATTATTTATTCATTTTATTATTATATATGTATAGCAAAAAACATAGTGTATATAAGGCTTGGTACTATCTGTAGTTTCAGGCATCCATTGGGACCCTTGGAACATATCCCTCTAGGATAAAGGAGGACTACTGTAATCTCATTCAGCCCTACTTTTATAAAAGGTTATAAATACAGAAGGAAGTTAACTGACTTTGGCCAAGTTCATTTGGCAGAGCCCGTACTGGAATCTGGCCATGAAATTCTAACTAAATATACTTTTCACCACATCATGGTTGTAAAAAAAAGTTTTGATTGAAAATAATTAAAATGATTGAAGTTTTTCCTTGAATAAATTATTTGAAATGGTTAGTAGCCTGTTTTTTGTTTTGTTTTTGAGACATAGTTTTGCTCTAGTTGCCCAGGCTGGAGTGCAATAGCGCGATCTCGGCTCACTGCAACCTCTGCCTCTCGGGTTCAAGTAGCCTGCTTCAGCCTCCTGAGTAGTTGGGATTACAGGTGCCCGCCACCACGTCTGGCTAATTTTTGTATTTTTAGTAGAGATGGGGTTTCACCATGTTGGCCAGGTTGGTCTCGAACTCCTGGACTCAAGTGATCCACCTGCCTCAGCCTCCCAAAGTGCTGGGATTACAGACATTAGCCACCATGCCTGGCCTAAAGGATTATTTTCAATACATTTTTAAATCCTGCACTTGATTCTGCCAGCAACCCAGTACTCAAAAAGGTATTTTGTAGACCCCAGCCTTCAAAAGGGTCCTTAGAAAGTGGAAAGTAATTTCAATATTATTCTAAGTAACGGAAAATTAGTTTAGTATGTGTTCAGAGATTCATAACATACCCCAAAACAAAAAAGACATCTGAATTGATGTTATTGATATTAGTGCCCATAATTAATAGTGTTTTGAAAAGTACCCTAATTGTCTTAATTGTGCATTTTATCTCAACTGTTTTTCACAGAGCACAAACCAACTTGGCAAAAAGCATGCTGAAAGGATATATACAAAATGTGTGTTATGAACAATATGTACGTACCTTGGGAGAGCAAAGAAAGGTAAACACAACACAGACAGATTCGACTCTTAGAAGATGGGTCGGCCAGGCACGGTGGCTCACGTCTGGTAATCCCAGCACTCTGGAAGGCCAAGGCAGGTGGATTACCTGAGGTCAGGAGTTCGAGACCAGCCTGGCCAACACGGTGAAACCCTGTCTCTAATAAAAATACAAAAAATTAGCTGGCTGTGGTGGTGGGTCCCTGTAATCCCAGCTACTCGATGGTCTGAGGCAGAAGAATCCTTTTAATCCAGGAGGTGGAGGTCGCAGTGAGCCAAGATTGGGCCATTGCACTCCAGCCTGGATGACAGAGTGAGACTCCATCTCAAAAAAAAAAAAAAGAAAAAAAGAAAAAAAAAATGGGTAAAATTTGGATAGACAGAGAAGGGCATGAGTAAGCACATGGAGACAGAAATAAATTTTTTACTCCTTTAAATTTCTAAAATTGTCTAGTTAAAAAAAAAAAAAATTCACCCCCTACTACAAAGGTAGATGAAATCACGGAGAGCCTGAAGACCATGATGAGAAATGGAAGTTTCCATGTTCATCCTAATTATAACAGTGATATTATTTGAGATTTCATTTCTAATTCTAAATTTCCAAAATTTTAATTTTTGACCCTATTAGCTCAGGAAGATTTGTGGAAATATTTGTTCAACATTTGTTGAACTTATTCAAGTTTCAAAAAACAAGAACATTCCTTAAAGCATCTCTCTCATCAATTCTTTAAACTTTCCCATAGGGAAAGTCCACAATCTCCCTCAAACAAAATTCACTATCAGAAATATTTGCATTTAACCTGCCCCTAGTTTTAAACCAAGGTAATAACTTTTAGTGTTCATACTCGTCCATGAATTTAACAGAGCCTTCTTAGCAGACTTAGATGGTATCACTAGCTTGTTCAATTGCATAAAATGTACATTATTCAATTTAGGAGTTTAGTGGACACAGAATTTCAAGAGGTTCTGTCTCTCAAAAATCATAATGGTTCCCGTTCATTTTCATTCCCTCATATTCTCTCTCTCTCTCCCTCTTTCCCTCTCTCTCCTAGCCATTTGATACTGTAAAATAATTGTCATCTAAGACCGTTGCAAACATCAACCACAGTAACCACATTTGCTCACTGAGTTACCACTTAGCAGGTGCAAAAAGGAAGTATTCTATTTCTCATCTCCTAAAACCAAAAGGGTTCATCTCGTACCTAATTTGTAACTTAAGGGAAAAGGATATCACGACTGATACTAACTTTCTCCTAAGTGTCAGAGGTTGCCGGCTTAACCAGACCGGAGAAGAGCAGGATCCCCGGGCCTAGCTTTGCTCAGCGGCGCAGGGAAGCATCGCCTGGAATTGGTGGGTGTCCCTCCTCACTAGTGGGCACCCGCTCGCCCATCGACCTGCCCAAACCCGACGGGACTCCGCCAGGGTCTCGGCTCGGCACCTACCCTCTCCTGCTCCCCGCCAGGAGCCAGCCACCCTCCTCGACCCCGAAGAAAGCTCGCGTGCCCTGCCGCGAGTGGAGCAGAAGGAACCCAGCGCCTCCGGCTGGCGCTGGGAGCCCCCTCCCCGCCGCTGCCCCGCCCACTGCACGGCCCCCGCCATCCTCACTGCTCTGGCAAGGCAGGCGAAGACCTGAGCCTTATCTCCGGACCCCCCCAGCCCGCAACCTCCCGCCGCGCTGCTCCGCACCGACCGCGCGGCCACCGGCCTTACCTGGCCGGGTCTCGGTGAGCGAGGCTGCGCCTGCGGCTTGCGTCCAGCGCACAAACCTGTCCTCCAGCCCCCAGCCCACCGCTCCGCTCTGCCCGCCTCCCGCCGCGCGAGCCCGCCTCCTGGCTGCCATGGCGACAGTTCCCACACCCTGAGGCCGCTGATTGGTCCGGTTCGGGATTGCTGACGACGCCGATTGGCGGGAGCAGGGACACGGCCGCTCCGTGGAGCCTGGAGGCGGGCGGTGGGGAGCGCCCAGGCTATGGAGCCTGGGGGGAGGCTGAGCCAGGAGGGACGTGGCGCTCTGAGATGCGGGCTCGGGAGGCCGCGCCTCTTCCTTCCCTAGCTTTCCCGGAGAAGCCTGTGGAGCAGGACCTGGGCGGGTGAGGTGCCGTCCCGAGACCCGGGCAGGGCCCCAGGGATCGCCTCTCTCTTGGCCGCTGGCCTGCGCCTGCAGCGCCCACGCGGGTCAGAGAATGGCTGTCAGGCCCATTCTCGCCCACAGGCCTCGCTCGGCTCTGACACCCCGGTCCTCCGTCTTGGCGGGAATCTTACTGGCATTTGTAACCGTACCCACCCCCGTTATGCTGGGCCCTCGGTCACTGTGGTTTAACTGTTATTTACCCACATTTTCTCTCGTCGATTCGCAGACAGCTCTTTCCTCTGCATCCTCCCCCAGAGAACAGACATCTGCTCCAAACCCCTCATTTTAAAGTGAGGAAACTGAGGCTCAAAGATGCACATGGGTAGCTTGAGGTTTCCAGAAGCTTTTGGAGCCACAGGCTGTTTACGAAGTTTCATTCTGCCAATTAGTTTTTTTCACCTGAAAAATTGGTATCATATACCTTAGGGTTATTCACGAAGATTGAATGAGATAACATTGCCAGGAAAACAGTACAGGCCAGGCATGGTGACTCACCCTGTAATCCCAGCACTTTGGGAGGCCAAGGCAGGAGGATGGCTTGAGCTCAAAAATTTGAGACCAATCTGGACAACAGTGAGATCCCATCTCTACAATAATATTTTTTTCTTTTTTATCTTTACCACAATGATGTTTCAGTCTGAAGAAAATATTTAAAAATTTGCCAGGCGCTGTGTCACACATCTGTACTACTCAGGAGGTGGAGGCGGGAGGATCACTTGAGCTCAGAAGGCCGAAGGTGCAGTGAACCATGATCATTGTGCCACAGAGTGAGACCCTGTCTCAAACAAACAAAAAAACACACACACACACAGTACAGAATCTGCCACATAGTGTGTTAGCAATGAAAGCTTCTGTTATCTGGAAGTATTACCAGGCAGATTGCCTCTGTTGCACAACTGGACTCTGTGTGCCCCTAACTGTATGATTTGTGAGTTATTTAAGTGCTCTGTGCCTCCATGTCCTTGTCTGTAAAATGAGGATAATAATAGTACCCTCCTACTTACAGCATAGCAAATTAATTTAAAAAGTGGCACATTGTAAATTTTCAATAAATGTTAATTAACTATTCTCAGATTAGTGACTGAGCTGGGACTATAACTTAAGTCTCTGGATTTCAACCCAATCGTATTTATTTATTTATTTAGAGACAGGGTCTCCCTCTGTTGCCCAGGCTGGAGTAGAGTGGCGCAATCTCAGCTCACTGCAGCCTCAACCTCGCAGGCTCAAGCAATCCTCCCACCTCAGCCTCCCAAATAGCTGGGACTACAAGCGCACACCACCACGCCTAGCTAATTTTTTGGCATTTTTTGTAGAGATGGATTTTTGCCATGTTTTCCAGGCTGGTCTCAAAGTCCTGGACTCAAGTGATCTGCCCGCCTCAGCCTCCCAAAGATTAGAGGCATGAACCACCACACTTGGCCTCAATTATCTTTACTAACACTTCTCATCCACATACATAGATCAGTACCTCAAGGTTAAGCTCCTTTTTGAGGTTCAGGAGAAGAGGACCCTTGTCCATTTTATTTATCCTTTTTGAAGTTCAAGAGAAGACTACACTTGTCCATTTTATTTAAATCAAGATCTTAATCTATCTGCCTTATCATCATGAAAGTCCAAGAATGTTGTGGCACTACCTCAGCTGAAGGGTTAAGCGCAAAGGCAAATGTAAGGAAATAGTCATATTTGGCTCTAATGGATAAATTGAAGAGTAAAGGCACTAGAGAAGAAAGGATATTCAGGAGGATATTCAGGTTAGCGGTATAGGAAAACTAAATTTCAATTTGAAAAACATGGGAAATTTTATTATCTAGGTTTTGGTTATATATAATTAGTAACCACTGGTAGTGTCAGATCAGAAGACCATACCACATCCTAACACTACAAAACACTAGAACTAGACTGTAAACACATTGAAGGCAGGAACTATCTTGTGCATGTTTATTAGCTATTATCTAGCACAGATGAACACACAGTGCCTGAATTAGGCATTAAAACTTAGGATAGGCCAGGCAGGTAGGTGGCTCACACCTGTAATCCCAACACTTTGGGAGGCTGAGGTGGGCAGATCACTTGAGGTCAGGAGTTTGAGACCAGCCTGGCCAACATGGTGAAACTTTCCTGTCTCTACTAAAAATACTAACATGGTGAAACCCCGTCTCTGCTAAAAATAGCTAAGTGTGGTGGTGCACGCTTGTAATCCCAGCTACTTGTAAGGCTAAGGCAGGAGGATCGCTTGAATCAAGGAGGTGGATGTTGCAATGAGCCAACATTGCGCCACTGCACTCCAGCCTGGACAACAGAGCAAGACCCTGTCTCAAAAAAAAAGACCTGTGTTGGGCCCAGTGGCATATACCTGTAGTCTCAGATACTCAGGAGGCTGAGGCAGGAGAATAGCTGGAGACCAGTTCTGGGCTGTAATGTGCTATGACAACTGGGTGTCTGCACTGTTTGACATTAATGGGGTGAACTTGGCTGGGCACGGTGGCTCACACGTGTAATCCCAGCACTTTGTGAGGCTGAAGCTGGCAGATCATCTGAGGTCAGGAGTTCAAGACCAGCCTGACCAATATGGCGAAACTCCATCTCTACTAAAAATACAAAAATTAGCCAGGCATGGTGGCAGATGCCTGTAATCCTAGACACTTGGGAGGCTGAGGAGTATGGCTTGAACCTGGCAGGCAGAGGTGGCGGTGAGCACTGTTGAGATTGCACTGTTGCACTCCAGCCTAGGTGATAAGAGTGAAACTCTGCCTCAAAACAAACAAACGAACAAACAAAAAAGTGTGAACTCCTAGGAGCAGGAGACTGATGCAGGGCAGGAAAGCCCCAAAATTGAGGGTTCTTGGCTTCACCCAGGAAAGAATTCAAGGGTGAGCTGGTGGTGTTAAACAGCAACTTTTATTGAAGCAGCAGTACACGGCAGCAACAGAGGTACTACTCCTTGCAGAGTAGGGCTACCCTGTAGGCAGTGTGCCCAGAGCAGCAACTCAGAGGCAGTTCTGCATTCCTGTTTATACCGATTTTATTTTATTTTTATTTTTATTTATTTATTTTTTTTTTATTATTTATTTATTTATTGAGACAGAGTCTCACTTTGTCACCCAGGCTGGAGTGCAGTGGTACAGTCTCAGCTCACTACAACTTCCACCTCCCGGGTTCCTGCTTCAGCCTCCTGAGTAGCTGGGATTACAGGCACCCACCACCACGCCTGGATAATTTTTGTATTTTCAGTAGAGATGGGGTTTCACCATGTTGGTCAGGCTGGTCTCAAACTCCTGACCTCAAGCAATCCACCCACCTCGGCCTCCCAAAGTGCTGGGATTCTAGGCATGAGCCACTGCATCTCGCCGTATACCCACTTTTAACTATATGCAACTTAATGGGCAGTTTATGCAGAAATTTCTAGAATGAGGGTGGTATCCTCCAGGTTGTCAGGTCATTGCCACAGAAAGGGGCCATAACTTCAGGGTGTTGCCATGGCAATGGTAAACTGACATGGCACACTGGTGGGCATGTCTTATGGGGAGGTGCTTCTGCTCCAAACCTGTTTCAGCTAGTCCTCAATTTGGTCCGGTGTCCAAGCTCTGCCTCCAGCGTTGAGTTCTGCCTCCTGCCTCAGTACCACCAGGTTGCCTAAGGAGGCGTAAACAGGTCCAGGTTGGAAACAGAGCAGGTCAGAAATTCCTCTGCTGATCAGTAGTGGGATCACGCCTGTGAATAGCCACTGTGTTTCGGCCTGGGCAACATAGCAAGACCCTGTCTTGCCTAAAACAGTTCATTTGTGTGCACAATTAGAAAAAGCTGCTTTTAGAACCAGATAAATTGAATGGGAGACCTTCTTTATGTTTGTCCTGGTTTCAGTCAACTAAAACCCTTTTTTTCCCCCTTTTCTTTTAGAGATAGGGTCTCACTATGTTGCCCAGTTAGTCTCAGACTCCTGGCATCAAACAGCCCTCCCACCTCAGCCTCCCAAAATGCTGGGATTACAGGCATGAATCACTGCACCTGGCCTACGCCTGTCTCTACAAAAAGAACTTTTTTTAAATTAGCTGGGAAAGAATCCACAGACCCTTTGAAAGATGCAGCAGGCTGCAGCCTACTCTGTGAGACAGGTGAAAAACTGTAAGTTCCCAGAGTGTGAGAGGGGGAGAGTCTTCCTCCAAGCACACATTCCTACCAGGGAATCTGAAAATCTAGTCCACAGGAGAAGGCTTCAACCCTACCCAGAGCTGGAATGGATTTAAGGAGTGGCGTGAAATAAATAAACGTAGAAGCAGTAGTGGGAAGTGCCTTGTAGGCATTCCCAGTCTCCACCATGAAAGGAGGGAAGCCATTCCTGACCGTATCTTACAGGGGCCCTCGGGGAAGTCAAACTCAGGGAGGGGTCACAGGGTGAAGGAAGCTCCCAACTGAATTTTATGATATAATCTGGAGTGGTGGTGAACTCCCTTGAGCAGAAACCAGGGGGCAAGCGAGAAGTGTGCAGGAGACACAAGCATACATGCTGGGTGCTCAGCCTTACCAGCAGATAGGGAAGGGCATGACCTGAAAGCTGTGGTTTCAGGTCACAGTGTGCACAGACTGCCTGGATCTAAACTCAGTGCTGTTAGCAGGGCACTGAGGGAGCAAGACCAGCCTTGCCAACTGCATGGGAGCTGGGTGAGGCTTGCTGCTGCCTGCTACTCCCCACTCCCTTTGTGAACTCATGTGTGGCAGAGGCAGTTATACTCCCTTCTGGAACAAATGGAAACACATCCCACAACACTGCCAAAAGCAATCTACAGATTCCATACAATTCCCATCAAAATACCATCATCATTCTTCACAGAACTGGAGAAAACAATCCTAAAATTCATATGGAACAGGAAAAGAGCCACATAGCCAAAGCAAAACTAAGCAAAAAGAACAAATCTGGAGCCATCACATTACCCAACTTCAAACTCTACTACAAGACTACAGTTACCATGGTGGCCTTCGCCTGTAATCCTAGCACTTTGGAAGCCAAGGCGGGTGGATCACCTGAGGTCAGGAGTTTGAGACCAGCCTGGCCAACATGGTGAAACCCTGTCTCTACTAAAAATACAAAAATTAGCCGGGGTGGTGGCAGGCGCCTATAATCCCAGCTACTTGAGAGGCTAAAGGCAGGAGAATCATTTGAACCCAGGAGGCGGAGGTTGCAGTGAGCTGAGATCGCGCCATTGCACTCTAGCCTGGGGGACAAGAGTGAGACTTTTGTCTCAAAAAAAAAAAAAGAGACTATAGCGTAGCCCAAACTGACACTATGTACTGATATAAAAACAGGAACATAGACCAGTGGAATAGAATAGAGAAAAATGGCCAGCCATAATGGCTCACACCTGTAATCCTAGCAGTTTGGGAGGCTGAGGCTGGTGGATCACTTGAGGCCAGGAGGTCAAGACCAGCCTGGCCAGCATGGTGAAACTCTATCCCTACTAAAAGTACAAAAATTAGCCGGGTGTGGTGGTGGATGCCTGTACTCCCAGCTACTGGGGAGGTTGTGGTGGGAGAACTGCTTGAACCCGAGAGGCGGAGGTTGCAGTGAGCTGAGATCACACCACTGCACTCCAGCCTGGGTGACAGAGTGAGACCCTGGCCTCAAAAAAAAAAAAAAAAAAGAAAAAAAGAGGAAAAAAAAAAAAAAAAGTCAAAAAACAATAGATGTTGGCATGGATGTGGTGAAAAGGGAACACTTTTACACTGCTGTTGGGAATGTAAATTAGTACAACCTCTATGGAAAACAGTATGGAGATTCCTCAAATAACTGAAAGTAGAACTACCATTCAATTCAGCAATCCCACTATTGGGTATCTACCCGAAGGGAAAGAAGTCATCATATGAAAAAGATACTTGCACATGCATGTTTACAGCAGCACAATTCTCAAGTGCAAAGAAATGGAATGAACCTAAGTGCCCAGCAACCAACAAGTGCGTAAAGAAAATGTGTTATATATACATTATGGAACAGTACTGATTCATAAAATGGAACAAAATAATGTATTCTGCACCAACTTGGATGGAGCTGGAGGCCATTATTCCAAGTGAAGTAACTCAGGAATGGAAAACCAATTATCATATATTCTCACTTATAAGTGGGAGCTAAGCTATGAGGACACAAAGGTAGAATGATGTAATAGACTTTGGGGACTCAGAAGGAAAGGTTGGGAGAAGGGTGAGGAATAAAAGACTACATATTGGGTACAGTGTATACTGCTGGAGGACTGGGTGCACTAAGATCTCAGAAATTATCACAGAAGAACTTATCCATGTAACCAAAACCTACCTGCACCCCAAAAACTATTGAAATAAAACACTTTCAAAGATAAAAAAATGGCCAGGCACAGTAGCTCATGCCTATAATCTCAGCATTTTGGGAGGCCAAGGCAGGCAGATCACCTGAGGTCAGAAATTCAAGACCAGCCTGGCCAACATGGTGAAACCCTGTCTCTACTTCAAATACAAAAAAATTAGCTGGGCATGGTAGTGCACACCTGTAGCCCCAGCTATTTGGGAGGCTGAGGTAGAATCGCTTGAACCCGGGAGGCTGAGGTTGCAGTGAGCCGAGATCATGCCACTGCACACTCCAGCCTGGGCAACAGAGTGAGAGCGGTGGCTCACGCCTGTAATCCTAGCACTTTAGAAGGCCAAGGCGGGCGGAAAGGAAAGGAAAGGAAAGGAAAGGAAAGGAAAGGAAAGGAAAGGAAAGGAAAGGAAAGGAAAGGAAAGGAAAGGAAAGGAAAGGAAGAAAAGAAAAAGAAATACCACCTTGCAGAATAAATAAAACCCCAGCATTGAAAGTCTTGCTGCTAGGAACAACGCATGCTTTGGAAGCACCACCCTTTGTGCTTTGTTGGGGGAAACCAGTTATGTGGAAGCACTTGTGGATACTCAAGAGTGTGCATGGGAAGGAACGAGTGTAACATGGGCAGGTCAGGGACCAGTGGACTTTTTGTAAGCTTTCAGCTCAATAAAATGAACCCATGTGGTAAAATAATAACAATAAGTGAAGCTAAAACTTGAAGGTTTAGCACTGACAGAGAATCTCCTGGTGGGAAAGAGGTCTAAAGAACATGGGTCAGACTCGGTGGCTCACACCTGTAATCCCAGCACTTTGAGAGGCAGAGGCAGGCGGATCAGTTGAGGTCAGGAGTTTGAAAGCAGCCTGACCAACATGGTGAAACCTCATTTCTACTAAAAATACAAAAAAAAAAAAAAAATTAGTAGGATGTAGTGGTGCATGTCTGTAATCCCAACTACTGAGGAGGCTAAGGCAGGAGACTCGCTTGAACTCAGGACATGGAAGTTGCAGTGAGCCAAGATCATGCCATGGCACTCCAGCCTGGACAAGAGAGTGAGATTCTGTCTCAAAAAAAAAAAAAAGCAGCAACAACAACAACAAAACCATAGTCACTACCTTGTATATTCCAACTGTTCTATAATACTAATTAAGACAAAAAAAAAAAAAAGAACATAGTCACTACCTTGGACAAGGGAAAATACATAAGCTTTAGCATCAGAATTGGACCCCAAGCCTGGCTCTACTGCTTATTACATGTGCCTGGTTTTGAGTTAGTTCCCTAACTCTAGGCCAGGTGCATTTTCTAGCAGAGTAGTTGTTCAAGTCTGGAAAGAGTGAATCTAGGAGGTATAGTGGTTAAGAGTGTGAACAATGAAACCTGTCCACCTGGATTAAAAACCCAGCTCCATTCATATTAGCTAATGGCCTCCAGCAAGTCACTTAACCCCTCTCTTTAAAGCACAGCTTTCCCACTTGTAAAATGCAGGCAACAATAGTTCAAGCCTCATATAGTTGTGGTAAGGATTAAATGAGTTTATATTTGTAAAGCAGAGGGTGCCCAGAGCAAAGTGCTTTATTAATGTCTAATAATATATTGGTCTCCGTTTCCCAACCTATAACCTGGGGATAATAATGCTGAACTAACTGTAAGGATTCCAATGATACGTGTAAAGTGCTAGAAAAGTGGCCAGATGCGATGGCTTATGCCTGTAATTCCAGCACTTTGGGAGGCCTAGGCAGGCAGATCACCTGAGGTCAAGAGTTGGAGACCAGCCTGGCCAACATGGTGAAACCCGATCTCTACTAAAAACACAAAAGTTAGCTGGGCGCGGTGGTGAGCACCTGTAGTCCCAGCTATTCAGGAGGCTGAGACAGGAGAATTGCTTGAACACAGGAGGCAGAGGTTTCAGTGAGCTGAGATCGCCCCACAACACTCTAGCCTGGGCCACAAGAGCGAGACTCCATCTCAAAAAACAGAACAAAACAAAGAAACACCAAAAATAAAAAATAAAAAACCCAAAATAAATAAATAAATAAATAAATAAATAAAAATAAAGTCCTAGTGAGGAGATGTCCAGTAGCTTTTATTTCTGTTCCCCACCTCGCCCCTACTTCTGCCCTGTTACCTTGGAAATCTTGTCTGATTACTGCTACCTCTGCCTTCAAGTTGTCTCTTGCTCAGCTTGGTGTAAGTAATTGATTCCTTGATTTCCTTGATTTCAAGAGATTTCTTGATTTCCTTTGGCTCAGCTGAGAAACTCAAAATGTGTTTGCTAGAGGCCAGAAGAAAATAAAAGTGAAACAACCCCAGAGAACCAGCTGACGCGAACCCTGACCCGTATTACATCTCTTTCTACTCTAGGGTGAAAACAATGGTTTCGAGGAGATTCTGGTTTTCTAAGACTTCAGTTCCCTTCTTACTTCCTCTTTTAGGACCCTGCAGAACATCAACTGGCCAATTAGTTACAAAATCAAATTCTTCATTGTGTTAAGAAAAGGGAAGAGGGGCTGAGTGCGGTGGCTCACGCCTGTAATCCTAGCACTTTAGAAGGCCGAGGCGGGCAGATCAAGACCAACCCGGCCAACATGGTGAAACTGCGTCTCTACTAAAAATACAAAGATTAGCCAGACATGGTGGCACATGCCTGTAATCCCAGCCACTTGGGAGGCTGCAGCAGGAGAATCACTTGAACCCAGAAGGCAGAGATTCCAGTGAGCCAAAATCGCACCACTGCACTCCAGCTTGGGTGACGGAGTGAGATTCCATCTCAAAAAAAAAAAAAAAAAAGGTAAGAGGGAGGGAGAATACTTACTTCCAAGAGACTGTAAGTAGTCAGAACCTAGAAAACTCAGGGTAAACTTTTCTGGGGAGCTAAGACTTACTGTTGTTGTTGTTGTTGTTTTTATTAAGGTCAAGATCAGGGATGAGCAAACAATGGCCCTTGGGTCAAATCAACCCATTACTTGCCATTACTTGTTTTTGTTGACAGTCTTATTAGAACACAGCAAATTTCAACATCTGTCCATCTTGTGTATGTGTTATCTATCGTCTCAGGCTGTTTTCGTACTACAATGGCAGAGTTAAATAGTTGTGACAGAAACTGTATGGCTCTTGGCCCCTTATAGGAAAAAAAAAAAAAAAATTACTAACCTCTGGACTAGATAATTCACCCAGGATCATATTTTCAGTATTCTCAGTGCAGAAATTCCTTACCTTCATCAAATCCACTAATGCATGGCTTCTCAATCTTTAATGTGCATTTAAGTCACAGCGGGAACTTATTAAAATGTAAATTCTAGCCAGAGGTCTGGTGTTGAACACCTGTAGTCCCAGCTACTTGGGAGGCTGAGGCAGGATGATCACTTGCTTGAGCCCAGAAGTTCAAGGTTACAGTGAGCTATGATCACACCAGGGCACTCCAGCCTGAGTGACACAGACTGAGACACTGTCCCTAAAAAACAAAACAAAACAAAACAAAATGTTTTAAAATGTAACCGGACATGGTGGCTCAGGCCTGTAATCCCAGCATTGTGGGAGGCTGAGGTAGGTGGATCTCTTAAGACCAGGAGTTTGACACCAGCCTGAGCAATACGGCAAAACTCGTCTCTATTGAAAGTACAAAAAATTAGCCAGGTGTGGTGGCAGACATCTGTAGTCCCAGCTACTTAGGAGGCTAAGGTGGGAGAATCACCTGAGCCTGGGGAGGTGAGGCTGCAGTGAGCTGTGACGGCACCACTGCACTCCAGCCTGGGTGACAGGAGTGAGACCCGGTCTCCAAAAAATAAAATAAATCCAAAGTCTGATTCAGTAGATCTGCAAGGAAGCCTGAAATTCTGTTTTCTGACAACCTCTGAGGGGTACCAATAAGGCTGTTTCCTGCATCCACTTGATCCCATCAATTATCTCATCATTCCTGCCCCCCACCCATTACCCAGCTTAATTACTCTGGTTAATCAGTAAAATCACTCCCATACAAATATCAACTTCCTTGCCTTTCTTTCCCTCTGCTGCTCTCACCTGACAGAAACCCAACCTTGGATGAACCCAACATATACCTTCTTCTTGTTTGTGCCATGCAGCTCTACATTGCAGGAGAAAAATCACTGGACCTATGTCTCCAAATTCATGGTCATCAATCTCAGACAGACCCTAAGTACTGCCCAGCAACTTTCCACTTTCTCTCTCCCACACCCATAATGACCATTCCATACCTTTCCTTACTCCTCAAACCTCCCATTCTTCCTTCACACTCATTTCAGAGGTGATCCTGAGTCAGCTTTGTTGAGAACCTCTTTGTATCAGTTAAGGAACTCCTGTTTTAAAGCAGGATTTCTCAACACTAATGACATTTGAGGCCGAGTAAGTCTTTGTTGTGGGGAGTTGTTCTGTGCGTTACAGGATGTTAGCAGAATCCCTGGTCTCTACTCACTAGATGCCACTAACATCCACTGCCAGTTGTCAACCAAAAATATCTCCAGACATTGCCAGAGATCCATTGAAGAATACAGTCTCCCCTGGCTGAGAACCACTGGTTTAAATAAATAGAAACCAACTCCAGCTGGAGATTTATTGAGAGGCTAATGTAGTAACTCATAGATAGACCTTGAGTAGGATACAAATCCTAGGGGCTGGAGATCTTCAGCCTTCTTTCTGGAAGTTGTCATTAGGTTAGTTCCTTCTGTCTTTGGGTATTCCTGATTAAGTTTCAAATTCTCAGTAGGAAGAATCTAAGTTCTGTTTGGGTCAGGTGTTCACTCCTACAGCCTGGAGAATAGAGTCTGTGACTAGCATAAACCTAGGAAGAGGTATTCAACAGGAAAAAAGTAATAGCCACCATACTTCCTTTGTATTATGTATCTATATGCTGTTAAAGTGACATAAAACTGGCTACAAAGACTTCAATAAATTGGAGTTTATTTTTCTATGATAAAGAAATACATCTGTCGGAGGCAGTTTTTGCCCTGTGTTCAGCTGCTAAGTAATATCATCATAGCCTCTCTGCATTCCTCAGCTCTGACTTTTCATCTTCAAGCTTATTGCCTGAGGTTGAAAGACAGCTAGCATACTTCCTAACATCATGAGTCATGACCACATTCAGAAATAGGAAACAGGCTGGGCATGGTGACTTACCTCTGTAATTCCCGTGCTTTGAGAGGCCAAAGTGGGAAAATCACTTGAGGCCAAGAGTTCGAAACCAGCCTGAGCAACATAGCAAGACCCTATCTCTACAAAAAGAAAAAGAAAAAGAAAAAAATTAGCTGGGCATAACAGCTCTTTGAGACCCCATCTCTACCAAAAAAAATAAATTAAATGCAGAAATGAGCCAGGTGTGGTGGTGTGCACTTGTAGTCCTAGTAAGGAAACTGAGGTGGGAAGATCACTTGAGCCCAGGGGCTCAAGGTTACAGTGAGCTATGATTGGCCACTGCCCTCTGGACTGGGTGAGAAAGTGAGACCCCATCTGTACAAGAAAAAAAAAAAAGTGAGGCGGGGCCAGGCACAGTGTCTCACACCTGTAATCCCAGCACTTTGGGAGGCCAAGGTGGGCAGATCACCTGAGGTCAGGAGTTCAAGACCAGCCTGGCCAATATGGTGAAACCTGTCTCTACTAAAAATACAAAATAAGCTGGGCATGGTGGTGGGTGCCTGTGATCCCAGCTACTCAGAAGGCTGAGGCAGGAGAATCACTTGACTCTGTCTCAAAACAAAGGAAAAAAGAAAAGAAAGAAAGAAAAGAAAAGAAATTGAAACACTCGGGATAGGAGATGGGGGGATGCAAGGAGGCAGCAAAAGAACCTTTTATGTAAGAAGTTACCCTTCTCTTTTTGTTAGTAAAGGAAAAACTGTCACAGAGCCACCCCCACACACCACCCCACTCCCACCCACCAGCTCCAGCAAACAAGCCTTAAAGTTCCATTGACTAGAAATAGGTTATATGACCATTCTCCTGGTACAAGGTATGATAGGAAAGTTAGTGTCTGGCAAAGAAAGAGGAATGCAGTCATCATGACTGGCTTACACCAATTACAACGAATCCCCTAAGTATGGACACACTGCTACCCCCACACCAAATTTTGGTTCTATTAACAAGGAAAAAGAGGGTCTGGCTGTTAAGCAATCGTGCAGTTTTTGCCACGTCTTCCTGATACAAAATCCCCAAACACTCATGATTCTGTACCCATGTCCTCTTTCCTTCCTTCTGTAACAACAAAAGGCAGGCCCTTTACCTATACTCTGAATTCCATTCCCTTCACCTCTCAAGGACTTCACTCCTTTATTTGGCTATTGCCTTTCCTTCCTATATGATGAATCTTCCCCTGGTTACAGAATCACATTCCAGGCATATAAACATGCTATAGGAGTGTCTTCCATCTTTTAAAAATCCCCTTCCCTATGGATAAAGAAATGTGATAATGCAAGCAGAGTAAAATTTTAAGTAGAAAATTTAGCAATTTTACTGCAAAATTCTTTCAATTTTTCTATATGTAATTACATACTTTTTATAATGTAATGTTGGAAATAAAAACTGTTCCTTGACCCCAAATCCCCCTCCAAATTTCCCTGCTTATTGTTCAAATTCATTGAAAAAGTTCCTTCCCCTAGTTACTCACCTCTCTTTTCCTCTTATTTATACTAGTCTGGCTTCCCTTTTCTCCAACAGTATACTGAAGTTGCTCTTTTTTTTTGAGATGGTGTCTTACTCTGTCACCCAAGCTGGAGTGCATTGGCACAGTCTCGGCTCACTGCAACCTCTGCCTCCTGGGTTCAAGCAATTCTCCACCTCAGCCTCACAAGTAGCTGGGATTACAGCCACTCGCCACCACCCCTGGCTAATTTTTGTATTTTTAGTAGAGACGGTGTTTCACCATCTTGGCCAGGCTGGTCTTGAACTCCTGAGCTTGTGATACATCCACCTCAGCCTCCCAAACTGCTGGGATTACAGGCATGAGCCACTGCGCCCGGCCTATTATTTTTATTTATTAAATTTTTTGTTTATTTTGTTTTGTTTGAGACACAGTCTTGCTCTGTCGCCCAGGTTGGAGTGCAGTGGCACAATCTCGGCTCACTGCAACCTCTACCTCCCAGGTTCAAGTAATTCTAGTGCCTCAGTCTCCTAAGTAGCTAGAATTACAGACATGAGCCACTGTTCCTGGCCGAATTTTTTTTTTTATTTCCTCAAGACAGAGTCTTGTTCTGTCATCTGGGCTGGAGTGCAGTGGCTGGCTGCAACCTCTACCTCCTGGGTTCAAGCAATTCTCCTGCCTCACCCTCCCAAGTAGCTGGGATTACAGGTGCCTGCCACATGCCCGGCTAATGAGATTGCTTTTATTAAGGTCACCTTTGAGTGGACACTTTTCTGTCCTCATCTTACTCAACTGCCCAGCAGCACTGTTTGCTGCTGACTCCTCTCTCAAAACACTTTCCTCTCTTAGCATCTGACACCACTCTCTTCTAGTTTTCTTTCTACCTTTCTAGATAATCCTTTTCAGGCTCATTTGCCATCTTCTTCTTCATTACCCAACTTCTAAAAGATAGAATGTCCCAGGGTTGGTTCTGGGACCTCTTATCTGTCCACAGAAAATTTTTTCCACAGGAGCACTATTGGCATTTTATGTGAGACATTTCTTCATTGAGCAGGATTTCTTGTGCATTGCACAATGTTTTATATTCCTAGATTCTACCCACTAAGTGCCAGTAGTATCTCCTTTGTCCCTGCAGTCAACGTGACAACCCAAATTGCTTTCAAACAATCTCTAGAAAAGTAACACTTCTCCAAGTGAAGAACAATCTCCTCTTTCATTCGGTGGTGCGAGCCAGTCCATAAACCATACACCTACCATGTACAGTATATGTAAATTCTCAAATATCTCCGGCCCAAACTTCTCTTAGGAAATTTAGACTATCTTTAACTATCTACATTTTTATTTGGATGGCCTGTTGTGGAAGGTCAATAAATATTTGATGAATTAATGATCTAATTAACTAACTTAGTCCCTCTTTTTTTGTGTGTGACAGAGTAAGACTCTGTCACAAAAAAAAAAAAAAAAAAAAAAAAAAAAAAGCTGGAGTACAGTGGCATGATCTTGGCTCACTGCTACCTCTGCCTCCCGGGTTCAAGCGATTCTCCTCCTCAGCCTCACAAGTAGCTGGGATTACAGGTATCCACCACCAGGCCCAGCTAATTTTTGTATTTTTAGTAGAGACAGGGTTTCACCATGTTGGCCAGGCTGGTCTTGAACTCTTGACCTCAAGTGATCCACCCATCTTGGTCTCCCAAAGTGCTGGGATTACAGGTGTGCGCCACTGTGCCCAGCCTGTCCCTCTTTTGTCTAACACTAAATTGCTGATCTTCTCATGCCCGTTGTTCACTGTGGGAGACCAGGAGATGTGCTGCTCAGACCCCCTTTCAAGAAAGGACCTGTTGCCCAGCTGTAGGAGTGTGGTTAGCTGAGAGTCTCTAGCTGTTACTGGCTTTAAGGTCTACCTCAGCTCTACAGCCAAAGTCACACTCTTCTTAGCATGTAGTTAAGTCATACTCTTCTTGGGCAGGTTTCCAGCCAATGAGTGGGCAAGGTGGTAGTTCATGGGTCTAGTCTAACACAGAACCCCTCCAACCGGAAATTTTTGCTCAGGAACCCCTCCAATGAGCTGGCAGAGACTTTGTCAGGTTTACATCATTATCTGCAAACTCTCCCTGCACAATTCTGCTTCTGTCCCTTTTCCTACACAGGTATTACTCCCCTGATAAGCCTTTGGCACACCTAACTCTGTCCTAGGATATGCTTCCCAAACAATCTGCTCTGTACTCTCTCTATCCTTCTCATTTTAATAATTTTTATGCATTCAGTTGATCAAGCTAACCCCCTACGAGTCATCTCTGATTCTTTGTTTTCCTTCATACGACATATTTACTTCATCAGCGTCAAAAGGTTCTGTTGATTCTACCTCTAAGGTACATAATCAATCTCTCTCTCTCTCTCTCTCTCTCCCCCTCTCCCTCTTCCTCTCCCTCTCTCTAATAACCCAGTCTCAGTTATCATCATATCTCAATGGAATACTGTGAATAGCCTCCAAATTACTGTCCTACTGTCAATTTGGCATCCATTCTTCACGCAGCAGTTGGAGCAATGCTTTAAAACATAGCACTACTTGCCACGCAAGGTGGCTCACACCTGTAATCCCAGCACATTGGGAGGCCGAGGTGGGTGGAGTTCGAGACCAGCCTGGCCAACATGGTGAAACCCTGTCTCTACTAAAAATACAAAAATTAGCCGGGCGTGGTGACACGCGCTTGTAATCCCAGCTACTTGGGAAGCTGAGGCAGAAGAATCGCTTGAACCCGGGAGGTGGAGGTTGCAGTGAGCCAAGATTGTGCCACTGCACTCCAGCCTGGGCAACAGAGTGAGACTCTGTCTCAAAAGAAAAAAAAAAAAAAGGGCACTACTCTACTTGAAAATAATGTGTTCTCACTTAACTTCTTACCATGTCTGTCAATCCTCTGTATGATGTCTCATTCATCTTTCTGTCCAGCCTCATTCCTCACTATTCTCCTTCTCTATCATTATACTTTAACCATGTTGGTTTTTCTGATCTTTGAAACTATTTCCACCTGAGGCCTTTGCCGAAGCTGTGCCCCTTTCAGCACATCACTATTCCCCCAACAGTTTGCATGGCTGGATTCTTTTCATTCATTGGAAGTCAAATGCCACTGCTTCAAAAAAAAAGCTACTTGGACCATTTAATCTAAAGCCATTTTCCTCTCCTCCCTCCTATTACTCTCTCTAATTGTGTGTGTGTGTGTGTGTGTGTGTACTTTTTCCTTAATTGCTTTTTGTCTGTGTCTTTCACTAGACCATAAAATCGATGAGGGCATAAACCATATTTGATTTGTTTATGCCTAGAGCCTAGCATATAGCAGGCAATCCATACACATTTGTTGAACGCATGAAAGTCATCTAATTATCTTAGGTACTCATATTGTTGGGTTGTTTTCCTCATAGTGTTTTGGCAAAGGGATTTAATTTTTGTTTTTATTGTTTTCTTTCAGAAAGAGAATAGGGCCTAGCATGGAGGCTCATACCTGTAATCCCCGCACTTTGGGAGGCTGAGATGGATGGATCACCTGAGGTCAGGAATTTGAGACCAGCCTGGCCAACATAGTGAAACCCCACCTCTACTAAAAATACTAAAATTAACCAGGCATGATGGTGCGTGCCTGTAATTCCTGCTACTCAGGAGGCTGAGGCAGGAGAATCTCATATGAATGATGGTGAGGTGGATGTTGGCAGTGAGCCGAGATCATTCCACTGCACTCCAGCCTGGGCAAAACAGGAGCAAGACCCATCTCAAAAAAAAAAAAAAAGGTTTATAATATTCTAAGGACAATAATCCTACTTCCTTTTAGCAAATCTTACCAAATAAATTTAAAAAATGATAAATATAAAGAATAATACTTAGAAACATAGGAGGAGGAATCCTTGAAGCATATATCACACACGATTATAAAATAGTAGTGAGAATAATAAGTTATGGGCTGGCGCAGTGGCCCACGCCTACAATGCCAGCACTTTGGGAAGCCAAGGCAGGTGGATCACCCTGAGGAGTCCAAGACCAAGCCTAGCCAATTTGGCAAAACCCTGGTCTTTACAAAAATACAAAAAATTAGCTCAGGCATGATGATGGGTGCCGTGCTGTAACACCAGCTGGTCATGAGCCTGAGGCAGAATCGCCGTTGAACCTGGGAGGCAGAGGTTGGCAGTGAGCTGAGATCACATCATTTGTACTACAGCCTTGGCAACAGAGCGAGACTCCATCTGAAAAAACAAACAAACAAAAACAAACCCAAATAATTTATAAGTGTCAGTCATACTGCAGTGAGGAACATTATCAAATAAATATTGAGTGTACACTTATATATATTATTTTTCATCCAAGAACAAAGACTCTTAGAGGGGCTTTGCAACGATCAGATCAATTACATAGATCTTTTTTCCTAACCTCTGGATTTCCATTCTATTAAACTTAAACAAACAAACAAAACAAACAAAAAAAAACTCTTAACCACCCGCAAGAAATAGGCAGTATACACAGTGAAGCAGTCTTGCTTTCAGGTAATTCCTATAATTCTTCACTATGATAAAAGTTGGGCCGGAGTGCACTTGCTCAGGTCTGTAATTCTAACACTTTGGGGACCAAGCAGGAGGATTGCTTGAGCCCAGGAGTTTGAGACCAGCCTGGACAACAAAGTGAGGAGGCCTCTGCTTAATCAAAAAATTAGCTGGACATGGTGGTGTATGCCTGTAGTCCCAGCTACCAAGAGGCTGAAGTGGGAAGATCACTTGAGCCCCAGGTTTAGCCGCAGTGAGCTGTGATTGTGCCGCTGCACTCCACGCCTGGGCAAACAGAGTGAGACCCTGTCTCAAAAAAAAAAAAAAAAAAAAACAAAGGCCCTGAAATACTTGGAAAACTGAGTTTACATTTTTTATTCACTCTAAAACAATCTAAAATCACGATATAACACACTTTTGGCTGGCGCCAGTGGCTCACGCCTGTAATCCCAAGCACTTTGAGAGGCTGAGGCGGGCAAACCACGACCTCAGGAGTTCGAGACCAGTCTGGCCAACATGGCGAAACGCCTCTCTCTACTAACAATACAAAAATTAGCCAGGCATGGTGGTACACACCTGTAGTCCCAGCTACTTAGGAGTCTGAGGCAGAAGAATTGCTTGAACCCGGGAGGTGGAGGTTGCAGTGAGCCAAGATCAAGCCATTGCACTCTAGCCTGAGCAACAGAGTGAGACTCTGTTTCAAAAAAAAAAAAGAAAAAAAAATTCAACTTTTATGACTTTTTTTTTTTTTGAAAGAGAGAGTGCCTACCTATATTGCCAAGGTTGGAATACAATGGCGATTACAGATGTGATTATTGTGCACTATAGCCTCAAACTTCTAGGATCAAGGAAAGGATCCTCCTGCCTCAACCTTCCAAGTAGCTGGGACTAAGGGCACACACTACCATGCCCAGCTGTGATTCTTTTTGAAAGCTCTACTGATGCAGACATTCTCTTATGACATCACGAACTTACCCAAATAATCTTACGCTTTTTGGTGATGCTGTAAAAATTGTATCTTCACACTCAATGCAATCCTGGGTTGCAGTCCTGAGATGAGATTAACACATGATGTCATAGGGGGATGATACAAAGAGATGTGCAAAGGCTTGCAATGGTATGGAGGAATGAGTTGTTATTCCAAGGTGTTAGAGCAATTCATGATGTCATAGAGGGTGTAGCCAAGCAACCCTCAAGAGTGGAGGGGAAGACTGTTCATATAGTTTCATATAGTTCATGACATCACAAAGACAGGGCTCAGGACATTACAAAAACTTGACATCTTAAAGGGATGGTCAGACTCTGAAATCACCAGTGGGAGGTGCACAACAGGAAAAGGGTTGGGCCCATATTTGGGAAGTCAGTGATCAGCGATGTCATAAGGGAATGGAGCAGTCATTCATTCCTTCGAGCATGAACACATAGAAAAGTTTGAAAGTTTTAGGACAAAGATTACAGACTACTGCCCAGGGGTGGGATCTGGCCCATAGACATGTTTTGTTGGCCTGCACACAGGATTTTGTGTGTTTCTTGCCCAGTTAATTGCTGAATTTGGAATTTCTATAATAAAAATCAGGATTTCTGGTTTCTTTTTAAAAATGTTAGAGTTCTGACAACCTTTGGTCTGCATTCCTACCTGGGAACAGCTCGCTGGAGCACACTAACAGCTTCCTTTTTTTGGGTGAGGCAGGTACTCTTAGTTTACCACAGTCCTCATTTAATTAGTTTTACTCATATTATCCACCTAGCACTTGTGGGCATTCAGGTTTGTGACACTGGTTTGGGGAATTCCATATAACAAAGAGGTAAGGTAATGTTGGGAAATACGTTGTAGGAGGGGAAGGTAATCTATGACATGAGAAGCTATGTAGACCTTAGGAAATTCATTGTGACAAGGATAGAAGCAGTGGGATATTGATAAACTGCTATTTTAACCCCAAGAATATTCTGATCCTGCCACCCTTGACTTCTGAGAGTATTTTGCCCCCATTGTGTTGAAAGAATTAAGAATATGCCACCCCAAAATACACTGCTCTGGCATATTCACTATTTTGAATTAAATATATATACACATATATTGAGATGTGAGAAAAACAGTCGCACACTGTTGCCGGGGCTAGAGTGCAGTGGCGCTATCTCGGCTCACTGCAATTTCCACCTCCCAGGTTCAAATGATTTTCCTGCCTCAGCCTCCCAAGTAGGTGGGATTACAGGTGCCTGCAACTACTCCCAGCTAATTTTTGTATTTTTGGTAGAGACGGGGTTTCACTATGTTGGTCAAGCTGGTATCAAACTCCTGACCTCATGATCCATCTGCCTCGGCCTCCCAAAGTGCTGGGATTACGGGCATGAGCCACCGCACCCGGCCTGAATTAAACATTAAAAAAAAAAAAAAAAACCAAAAAAAAAACAGCGAATACAAGATCACTCTGACCTTCATTTTGTTTCTTAAAAGCAAGAGATGAAGTTCCTATGTGAAAGATGCCCTCTCTATAAACCAACAAACATTCTTATTATCAAGAACAGGAAGAAAATTCTGTACAAAGGAACCTTTTAAAACTAACCCTTATCTTCCTAGTCACTTCTCTACCCAATGAGCTACCCTAGTCCAAACTCTTTTGCCTTATCACATTTTCACAGTTACTATTCTTTGTCCAAAGTCCAATTCAGTATATAAGTGATTGACTCTCACTGCTTCTTTGTGTCTTCATTTCTTTATGAGGGCTCTGGTGCCATTTAAAACTTATATTAAATAAATTTCTATGCTTTTCTCCTGTTAATTTGTCTTATGTCAATGTGATTTCCAGGCCCAGCCAGGACCCTAAGAGGATAGAGGTAGAGTTTTGCTGCCCCACAGTGTATTCAAGAGTTTTATTGTGCATGCATTAATCATGGAATTAAACTGAATCAATAAAATTTGACTCATAAAATACTTTCCAAGAAAATTCACTGATATTGACATAATTCTTATTATATGTTTGTTGTTAAATATCCTTCGTGTTGACCGGACATGGTGAATCACACCTGTAACCCCAACAACTTGAGAGGCCAAAGCAGGAGGATGGCTTGAGGCCAGTAGTTCAAGACCAGCTTGGGCAGCATAGTGAGACCCGCAACTCTACAGAAAAAATAAATACATAAAAAGAACAAAAAACCCACACAAATCCTTGGTGTCAAATATCCTTGGGTCAGGTTTAGAAGAAATCTTATTACTCCCCAAGTGGTATAAACCATGATATTTTCAAAAGATCCATAATATCATCAACAATTGTCCTTGAAACATCCCACTCTCTTTACTGCCTGCATGCCTCAGCTCAAACTGCTCCTTTTCTTAGAAGGCCCTTCTCTTTCACTGACCTCTGAATTATTCTTCAAATAACAGTGGAGAAATTACTTCCCCAGGCCACACTCTCCTAGCATTAAGAAACAACTCCTGGCTGGGCACGGTGGCTCACGCCTGTAATCCCAACATTTTCAGAGGCAGAGGCAGGCAGATCACGAAGTCAGGAGTTCGAGACCAGCCTGGCCAACACGGCAAAAGCCCGTCTCTACTAAAAATACAAAAATTAGCTGGACTTGGTGGTAGGTGCCTGTAATCCCAGCTACTCAGAAGGCTGAGGCAGGAGTATGGCTTGAACCTGGGAGGCAGAGGTTGCAGTGAGCCAGGATTGCACCATTGCACTCCAACCTGGGCAACAGAGTGAGACTCCATCTCAAAAAAAAAAAAAAAAAAAAAAAAAAAAAAAAAAAAAAACTCCTCCTCCTCCTACAGAACTTTGAAGACATCTTTATTATAAAATTTATCACAGTGGAGTACCTTTTTAAACAATTTTATCAATTTCCTTCGGTAGAATTAAAGATTGTGAGTTATTTAAAGGTAGTATTTTCTTTCTGGCAATCTAAAGTCATTTAATAAATATTTGTATAGTGAATGTTCATAAGCCAGTATAGGTCAAAAGTTTATGGGGTGGGGCCATGATGAGAAATGCTACTATATGACAAAAGTTGCCATATGAAAATGAGGCAGAATATGATGTCATGGGGAAAATCTATGCAAACTTATCTGATGACACTAGTCTGGATGTGCTGACTACAATAGGAAGAGGAACTGAGCCCTACATTTGATCACTAGGGTGGCACAAGCTTCTAGGAAATCCTCCCATGTCCAGATCATCCTGAGCACTTACCACAGTGCTTGGAAGAGAGTAGACCTACAGTGAATACCTACTTGATGAATAAATCAATGAGTGAATGAATATGAGAATAACCTAGTATATTCTGGGCTCTAAGCAATCCTAAATCAGGCTTCCCCCACCCCCCGAGATAGTCTCTCTCTCTGTCACCCAGGCTGGAGTGCAGTAGCACAATCAAGGCATACTACAACCTTGACCTGCTAGGCTCAAGCCATCTTCCCACCTTAGCCTTTGGAGTATCCGGGACTGTAGGCATGCACCACCATGCCTGCCTAATTTTATTTTTTGTACAGATAGGGTCTCTCTGTATTGCCTAGGCTGGTCTTGAACTCCTGGGCTTAAGCGATCCTCCTGCCTCAACCTCCCACAGGCTTTGGTTCTGAATTAGGTTAGTCTGGAGTGGTTCAGCTCTGTTGCAAGCTGTTCTTTGTTGAGCCAATGTCTTAGTTGAGGTCAAGTGTAGTTGTCTACGTCAGCACAGTATTCCCCCGCTTATATGCAATTTCACTTTCCTGGGTTTCAGTTTCCAGCATTCAAGTACAGTCCAAAAAGATTAAATGGAAAATTCCAGAAATAAACAATTCATAAGTGTTAAATTGTATGCCGTTCTGAGTAGCATGTAGTATGATGAAATCTCAGCTATCCTGCTCTGTCCCACTCCAGATGTGAATCATTGCTTTGTTCAGTATATCCATGCTCTATACACTACCCATTTATTAGTCACTTAGCAGTCATCTCGGTTATCAAATTGACTGTCACAGTTTCACAGTGCTTGTGTTCAGTAAGTCTTATTTTTCTTAATAATGACCCCAAAGCCTAAGAGTAGTGATGCTGAAATATTGTTATAAGGTTTTTTTTTTTTTGAGATGGAGTTTCACTCTTGTTGTCCAGGCTGGAGTGCAGTGGCCTGATCTCAGCTCATTGCAACCTTCACCTCCTGGGTTCAGGCGATTCTCCTGCCTCAGCCTCCCAAGTAGCTGGTATTACAGGCAGGCGCCACCACACCTCATGTTTTTGTTTTTGTTTTTGTTTGAGATAGAGTTTCGTTCTTGTTGCCCAGGTCAGAGTGCAGTGGCCAAATCTTGGCTCACTGCAACCTCCACCTCCCGGGTTCAAGTGATTCTCATGAACACATACAATGATGGTCCCATGATTTTAAAATGGAGCTGAGGGAGGCCGAGACGGGTGGATCACAAGGTCAGGAGATCGAGACCATCCTGGCTAACCCGGTGAAACCCCGTCTGTACTAAAAAACTAGCTGGGCAAGGTGGCGGGCGCCTGTAGTCCCAGCTACTCGGGAGGCTGAGGCTGGAGAATGGTGTGAACCTGGGAGGCGGAGCTTGCAGTGAACTGAGATCCGGCCACTGTACTCCAGCCTGGGCGACAGAGCGAGACTCTGCCTCAAAAAAAAATAATAATAATAAAATAAAATAAAATAAAATAAAATGGAGCTGAATAATTCCTATTTCCTAGTATTTACCATACTATACGTTTGAGTGTGTGTGTGTCTGTGTGTGTTTGTGGGTGTGTGACAGGGTCTCACTTTGTTACCCAGGCTGGAGTGCAATGGCGCAATCACAGCTCACTGTGACCTTAATTTCCTGGGTTCAAATGATCCTCCCACCTCAGCCTCCTAAGTAGCTAGGACCACAAGCTAATTTTTGTGTATATACTTTTCTTTTTCTTTTTTATTTTTTTTTAGCCCGCCACCACGACTGGCTAATTTTTTTGTATTTTTAGTAGAGACGGGGTTTCACCGTGTTAGCCAAGATGGTCTCGATCTCCTGACCTCGAGATCTGCCCACCTCAGCCTCCCAAAGTGCTGGGATTACAGGCGTGAGCCACCGTGCCCCGCCT